TGACCTATTTGTGGCAATCTGACCAGGTCAAAAATGGTATGATTGTATTCCTTGACCATATAAAAATAGTTTTAGACATTAGAATTATAATTCCAAGTGGTTTAGAAGCGGAGATATAGATAAACATAGGTTTTATTAGGCGGCCTTTTTGAAATCCAAGATGGCCGCCACAATGACCTCGGATGAGATGGTTCCTACCAAAAATTGAATGCTATGACCATAAGGAGCATGTAAAAAAAAATTGGTGCTTTTGTCCGGAACGTCCACATCCATCTGCTAAGCTGCCGGACTAAATGGGAGTTTGCGCTTATAGACGGACGTATGCATTTGTGCACCAGTGCTGACAACACAATTTTTTTCTGGACTTTTCTATAAAATTACACATATATTATATTTTGTTTAGAAGCATAAGGTACTGAAGGACAGGCACGAACAATATAAAACAAGCCCGAAGGGCCCAATAATACTTTATAATACGATACCGTACTTTATACTCAATAAAACAAAAGCATTGATTTTTGTTTCGCTAAATAAGTAATCCTAATGTCTGTTGGTTTGCATAAATTCACTGCATGTACAACAATAAATTGATACTTATAAATACAGACACTGTTATAAATCAGGTTAGTTGTTACGGAATTACACAGGGTTTTCTATAGAGGGATGTAGTTTTTAATATAAACTTAAAGTAGTTGTTTGATTGTTGTAACATCTTAACCTTATTTTGTCGATATTTTAGGGTATTTGTATTTGTAAATCTTTGCTGTCTCCTTTTTTCCAATTTGAGAGGTTTCCAAGTATTAATTTTAATAGTCCGAATAACCTGTACGGTAGTAATTTGTTTATTGTATGAACTCTTAACTGATTTGATTAAGCATGATACAATAGTACAATTGTAATCAGATTAAGCAATGTCCTTTGCTTTTAAGAAAATATTTCTTATTAAAATTGTACAACCTAACTCCATGTAACTGTTTTTTACCGAGCAATAACATTATATTATAATAACTTGTGAGTAAAAAACGCCATCTCCAGCGCTATACAAATCATAGGAGCTATGTACATCTCGTCCACACGTTTAGTACGGTACAGCTAATAAATAATTAGTGTAATATCACAACATCATATAATATTTCGGCAACAATCAACACCTTACGGAGAAGTACAATAAAAGCATCAGAACACATTACACAAAAGACTGTCACATGGCAGGATTGTCCAAAAGTAAAAGCGTTTTCCTCGTAAAACATTGATATATATTATTATAATAATAATTGCGTCACAAAATTGCATTCAAGTACAGTAAATATTTCATCAAGGACTTTACTAAGCTACTTAAAAAGCGGTTGGAGATGCAAATATATATATATATATATATATATGTGTATATACCTGTCTCTTATACACATCTAGATGTGTATAAGAGACAGTATATATATATATATAGGCCTATATAAAAAAAACTTAAAGGTGTGTTGTAACTTGTAATAATGCTACCGATGTTTTCCCAGCTAAAAATTTTACATTATGGTAGCGTTGCAGTTTTGTTAACTAAACGTAACTACGCATTTTAGCGTGATTTAAATAACGTTAAGTTGCGACAACATTTTGTTAATGTTTTTTTTTTATATTACCTAACCACAACATTGACAACGTTTGTTAAAGTTAATTATAACACCCTGTTTTAGTTGGGTATCGGATGCGTACTGGTAATATTTTGGTATTGTAAAGAGAGAGCGAGCAATGATAAGCCTAAACTTCCCATGGTTCTATGATTTTGGTGGATGTAGAAGGAAAAGAACTAAAAGGAATCCATATGAATCGTCAGTTTATAATCGTAGTTTTTGCAGGGTATCGGCTCGAGGCAAATTTAATTGTTAACGAGGTAATATTGTTCATAATTATGACATTGCAGTTAGTGGCCAACCTACTTAAGAGAGAAACAAGCAAGGTCCTTAGATGCTGAAGCTGTCTGTGACTGATCCTACTGCAAAAACTGCCTCCTATTTTAGAAGAAATGGCGAGATTCAGCATACTGTGTGTGTGTGTGTGTAGTGAAACAGGTGTATTAACCTGTCTCTTATACACATCTAGATGTGTATAAGAGACAGATATATATATATATGCATATGTGTGTGCGTATATGTGTGTTATGTATCATATAGCCTCATATTCTTAATCTTTTATTTTTTGGTAGCCTAAGTTTAAGTTTCGTATAGGACCTATATTTCTGACCCACTTTCTGATCGTGACCTATACTTTGGAAAGCGTGGCTCAAGATTATTCGAGGGGGGTGTTTATTCAAAGCTGCGGTGCGTTTATATTCGAATAACGGTTCGGTATAAGAAAACATAAAAAATATCGTTGAATTATTATTGTGTAATAAATAGATTAGCCCAGATTACTGTAGTAATTAAACTATTTTAGAGTTCAAGAAAAGTTCAAGAATGACATGGAAAATATAAGTGGATACTTAAATTGCGGTAAAGAAATACTTATTGAATTCATACACTGCAACTTTCATCAACGTAAAGCAAATCGCTGTGTCACTGCTTGTGTACGTACAGAACTCGTATTATGATTTAAACTTTTTGTGATCTCAGTATCATGATATGATACTATTATCTCTATCAAAAGCTTATTAAAGCCAGGATACGAAGGGAAAACAGGTTGTACTATGTTTGACCAATGAACTCTGGAACAGTAATGAATATAGATGAAGTTATTTAAATATTTAAAAAAATTGAGGAAAAGGGTCATAACATCATGTAATATAAATCAGTTTTTATTTGACAACCCGCCAATGTTTGTCTGACATTTTCACAAACATGATGACAAACATTGAAAAATAGGCATCATCAACAGTTTCTCTTCTGTCAAGAAAAAGCAAGCTTCTGGCAAGCAATACATGTGTTTATCTTCTGATCATTGTTTGATTTACTATTTCATATAATCTTCTTTAAGATAATTTAAGTTAATATTTTTACAATTACGCCTTTTAGGCCTACTGTACCCTTTCTGTGGCGTCTTTTCGTGGGGTATTTTAGTCACGATTGGAGTTTCATGGGTGTATGCAAGGGGGTGGGCAGGGGATCGGGAAGGTCGTACGACCTCTCAATTTTGAAAGGTCCACATTTTTTTCCAAAGACAATTTTTCTAGGGCCTTTTCAAAATGACATAAATGAAAAAGCATTGAGCCAAAAGACCTCGCCAATTGCGTGACGTAATCTATCCCAATTCCAGCAATTCTGAAACTCAGCCTGCCTGCCATTCGCTTCAACCTGGTGGCGCTGTAATCGATTTTCCTGTCTCCCACTGAAAAGGTAAACAAAATAAAAAAATGATCACGACCCAATCAGAAAAAATCCTGGATACACCCATAAGTTTAAAATATTTGAATACCGTAAAACCTCGAATAGAAGCCCAGGCTTCTTTTTTGC